ATTTGAACGGTGCTTCGGCATTATTCGGATTTCTGAAAAGGCAAGGTTAACTTTATTAATTTATTGCATGCCATTTTCTACGCAAATGGATTCCGGTTTCTTACCCAGTCTTGACAAATGCCATAAATGCAGCACTGGTCATTTCAGCAACCTTCCTATCCGGTTTGCTCATCGGGAACGGTGAAGAGTAGTAGTTACAGTCAAACAAGTAAATTATATCTGAGCTGTGGGTCCCGGCTGGAAAGTGGAAATATAAGATGGGAGCAGATTGATGTGAACATGGAACTTACACAGGAAGGGAGTCGTAGCCATTAACCATCCCCACATAAATTTGCTAGTGTAGGTAAAGTTGTAAGCGTAAGTAGACTTATTGTGTTGTTGGCTGTGTTGGAGATATTTGTAGCAGCCGTAGTTGGAGAATATGTCGGAGGTGCACTGAAACAAAAAATCTCAAATTATTGATTTATCGATTGTCAGGAAAACTCACCGTAACATAGGCTTCCTGCATAGCCTTTCGGTCTTTACGTAACACATCCAAATCCCCATATAATTTTCCCATGATATTCTCCACCTCCACAATGCTCAGGCCTGATTGCCGGGCCAACTCGTGCACTACCTTATCCATATCCTTTCCAGTACCTTTTATCGCTCCAAGTGCACCTATACAAACGGGTTAGGATAGCGTGGGTCCTAAGCAGATAAGCACAGTGTGACTCACAGAAAAGTAGTGACTCCTGTTGACCAACTCCACAAATCGACTCCATCGTTGGAGCTTCAGCCCGTAGTTCAGGAATTGGTTTAGGAAGGATCTCCCCGTCGACGATGGGAGTAAGGGGTAGTCGAGCCTCGGTAAAGAAGACTCGATTTCCGATCATGTGGAGGGCGAGTCTGCAATTTAGACTAGGTTAGGGAGGAAGAATCTTCAAATTTTCATATTCTCCAGTCAATGACATTTTGAGGAAGCTTGGGTTATTTCAAATGGAAGCTTTTTAGGGAACTGAGGGGTAATAAGTGGTTCAAACGGCAGCTCCTAGATTCATTTGTAGTTGAGAAATTCAGCTTTGAACTCCAGCCCATATCGTATCGTATACTGCGTCCAAGGACGCCTTATTGAGCGGTATGGAAAGAGTACGGTCTGGGCTGTGTCGGTTCAAAGTCTATAAGGTCTAAGGGCTCACCTGTGGGCTGGTACACTCCTCATAAACTTCAGCATGTCTTTGCTTTCTTCTTCATGACTTTCATAACCGCCTTCCTTCGGTTTCCAACCCAACTTCAACGCTTTTCGTCGACAGTAATCGGCACATTTTTCTTTCGTGGTCGTGGACCAATAGCAAAATGTGCTCCCACCCATCACAATTTTTCGTTGGAACATGTCTAAATAAGGTGAATTTAGGAAAAATTTTCAAAACTAACAGAGATCGCTTGGGGGCCCAACAAACCTCTAGATAATGGAGACAATGATAGCAGATCAGTCGACACGGCTCCAGCGCTTTGTCCAGCAACAGTGATCCGATTTGGGTCACCACCAAAATGGTGAATATTTTCCTTGGTCCATTTTAAAGCCTAAACATAAACTTGGAGATCGGGACAACATACCCCTGAGAAGGAAGCAAAGAGGTCAATTTACCTCATACTGATCCCATAAACCGTAGTTACCCTTAGCGACATCATCACCGGTACAGAAATAGCCGAGAAATCCTAGGCGATACTGGATGGTTACGACGACCACGCCATGTCTAACCAAGAGCCTGAAATTGCTTGTCTTACATTTTGTGGGCGG